TAGTTTTTTAGTCGGTCGTTAATCTTATTTTTTCAATATTTACTTCCTTCACATGGACATTTAATCCCTTTTTAATTTATATATATATATTTATTATAAAAAGAAAAATTCTTAACAACTTAGTACTTTCATCTCTTCTAGGAGATTCTTCAGACTGTTTATTTGAAGTATATATTGTGACGTCATAAACTATGACGTCACATAATAGTTCGCTATAACGACATCCGCCAAATACGAACCCGCCATAACGATATCACAGCAATATAAATATATATATATATATGTATTCGTATGTGGATGTTTTCACCCTAATTTACTTAATGCGAAAATCGCGAATATTTTCGCAACTTTTACAGCATATATATATATAAAAAGGTTTTCAATTCTTGATCTTTTATGGCTACAAAATGCTTATTTTATTTGCGATGGTTTCATTAAAAACATAATTAAAGCATATGACACTGTAAACACAGAATCGAAAGGTGTTCCAAATAGTACTTATCTAAGTCAAATATCGATATAAGGAGAGAATGAGGATTTTAAAATACATCCTCAAAAAGTAAGAGCAATGTGTAAACAACAGTTCTTTGCTCATCTATTGTAATCAGTTGCAAACTAACTTGAGTAAATATTAGCGTTAGAGTTTACTACATCGCGTACCGATATTGATATATGTAAAAAGAGGTTCTGCTTATTACTTTTTTAAAAGCTTATTTTCGAAAATAAATATGAGTATATTAAAATTATGTGTTCTAAAAGCCTTTAAGATATATCAATACCTTACATTATACAAATGTCCCTGGCTTCATATTTTACAACGCCGCTATTTTATTTATTTCTCAAAAAGCAACTACCGCTAGAGTACCGCTGGCTGGTCCACTGAGATCCATGTGCTTTCGCATAACCTCTAAAACTTTGTAGGTTATTGTGTTATGTCCATGGGGATTCCAAAAAGCCCGCGGAAATCTCTGTCAACATACTTCTGATTAATTTTATACAGTTTTAGAGTTTTCACGAATTTTCCACGGAGACTGTGATCAAACAAAAAAAGGCCCAATGCAAATACTTTTGTTAAACAATATCAAATTTAATTTTTTTTTGTGAACTTTTCTATTTGCAAAACGCTTCTCTCCAACGCTATCGCTCGGATCTGCAACATAAACACCAAATCTGTCAGACCACTGCTAATACAGAGCTGTGATCTATATCATGCCAACAGTCCTACCTCTAACTTCGACATACTCAAAACAAACGCCGCTTTCTAAAAAAATATAACGGTTGTCTCTTTGAAGAAGCCAATCCCAAATGTCTACTCAACTGACTTTAAACAACAATTTGTTTTAAATCAACAGAATTGTTCTCGTATTTCAGAATCGTTCAAACTGTTAAATGGTCATAAACTAGCTGTGCCTTTCAAACTGGAAAAATCATGATGTCAAAAGAGTAATGCTAATCCAATTGTGTCTGGAATGTATTGCTTTGTTCTAAAGTATGTGGGAACGTGATATTATATTGCAGTTTTGGATAAAAAAAAAGTAACATTCCTTCAGGGTAGCAAGTCTCCGTATTAAAAAATAATAAGCAGCAGTTTATTGTTCTGAAACACAGAACCATTTTTTTATTACTGAAAGAAGAAAAAGGAAGTGTAATATATAATTGTTTTTATTGTCTTTTATTCCAATAACTGCCCTTTAGTTTGGCATTTTACAAGCATGAGAAGGATAATGCAGTTTAAACACATAACAGAGCGTGCCCTTCGTTTCATTCAAAAAGCTTTTTTCTCCTAAGTTGGTGGACATTCAAAAGGATCAAATATTGATTTTGTGCATGTAAAAAGATTCGAGGATAAGGATGACTTTTTTTTTAATTATCAACAAATTGCCCTTAAACGATGAAGGTAAAAAACAAACATGTGCTTGCACCTCAAATATATTAAGGACCTCATTACACTTGAGTTCTCAAACACCAAACTCAAACAAGAGAATACAAACGAGGGACCTAGAGTTGACATGGCTTAATATGGACCCATGTACAGTGTATAAACATGTCATATGTGATAACGTCAGTGTCTGAAACTCTCTCCTAAAGTGAATTAATTTCTTTACGTTGATGACTTAGACAAGATTACACCACATGGGAACTGGCCTATAAGTAGCTGTGTCATCTGCCGATCCTCTGCTTACTGAATCAGATTGGATAAACATGCGGCGCTTTCATGTTTTAATTTTAACCTATAGTACTTAGTTTTTCTTTAGTTTAAACTGTCTGTGACTTGTACAAACTGATATTCAACACATCAATGTGAATACTACTACTTTTTTCTTTGGACAGATTTCATCTATAAATTATTCTTTTTAATAAACACTGTGTTTGGTGAGTAATTCATCAAGCATCCCCCTTTCGCGGCAACATTTGCAGATATCTACGTTAATCTTGTACTGATAGTGGCTTAAACCTTCATCTAGTAGCTCTGCATTAATAAACATAAAATTAATATTATACTATTCACCTAATGTGTAATACCACTAGGGGCTTTTGCAGGCAGAAGATGCTACAACAGGTAGTTTAAACCTTTGTTATGATATAACCAAATCAGGTATAAATTCGTTGTATGATACTTATCTAAATGTATCCACAGTATTATGGCAAATATATACGTGACACTAAAGTCTCTTAATTTTTACATCCACTAGTTAATTGTATTCTTTTTTACACAATTGAATGTGCTTTATATTATATACACCTAATAACATGTTGGCCCACCACCTGGTTGCTCGCATACCTTCGTATTTGATATAATAACGTGTTATTCTGATTGTTTATATCTGTCGCAAATAAAAGTTTATCAAAGCTAATGTTCTCTATTCATGTAAATGCGACTATAAATAAAGTTTCTTGTTTCTTGTATCAATGCATTTTATTATATCACTATTTTGAAATAGAACCGCGCAATGCTTTTGATGAAGTGCCAGGGTAATTTTCAAAGATCAACATCGTCGGTATGTTAATAAAGTACTCATTAACAATAATTGTTGAGAGCACAATGCTTACTTTATTGTGTAATGGTTGTTTTATATACCTTCCTGGTATATCTTAACACGAGCTGTGTTTCAGAGGTGGTCACAGGAAAACTGTTTCGCTCGCGTTACCTTCACTTTGTAGTTATTAAGCGGCGGGGCTTTATTGATTTCATTGTTTCGTCCCTGAGAAAATATTTTACCAATGAATGTGGGATGGCTGGTGTCAATTTGAAGGACGATAAGAAATTCTGTTTTCCCCTGTAAACTTCACCCATTGCGGACAGTATAAAGGGTATATCGCCACTATACACTCTAAGAGGTGGACTCACATCAATGTCGCATGCTTGCTTCGTTATTCCGAGTTCTTTAAGCCTTCATTATCTCGTGGTATTGAAAACTTTATTATTATTTTGCGGTCTTTAAAACTTCATTATCTTGTGGTCTTTAAATCTTTATTATACTTAGATCGTTAAATCTTCATTATCTCGATGTCTTTAAAACATAGTGATATCAATGTCTTCAACACTTCATTATCCTGTGTTTTTTTTTAAACTTCATTATCACGGGTTCTTTAAATTTTCATTATCCCGCATGAAAGTTTTTAAAGCTTGTATTGGATATAAAAAAAATCTTCATTAAATCTTAGAATTTCGTGGAAGCTGCCTTTTCAGGCGCAAAATACTAAGAACTCTGACGTCGTTACATTTTCAGCGTACCGTTGCATTTATCAAGTCGTTTCCATCTTAAGTATACTATTCTGAGATTGCATTTTTCTTCTTTGTATACTTTAATTAGAGACAATTTTGATTTTAAATACCCCGATATCGGTGTGATATAAACCAAAAAAAATCACATTTCTTGTTAATACAACTCGATGATTGCCAATACAAATCCGCCAGGTAGACATATAAAAGCTTTTCCCACACATTACAGTCAAAGCGAACAATTCCTGGACATATCTAATCGTCAGTATTTTATTGGTGTTTGCTTCTTGACCTTTTGATGTCATGGTTGAGGATATACGTAGCATATACTATTTCTATCAGTAAATACAATATAAAAACATAAATCACTGAGGTCAAAAACAAATATTCTTATAATTTCTTTGTTTTAAATATAGAACAGATGTCTCTCTAAGTCCCAATATTTCGGCCTCCTGGCCTTCTTCAAGGGCGACACCGCTGACTTTTACCCTTGAAGAAGGCCAGGAGGCCAACATATTGGGACTTAGAGTGACATTCGTTTTATATTTTTCTCTTTTTTCTCTTTGGAAATCATCTGTTGATCATTGTGTTCCTTGTTTTATTTCTTTAAATTAATTTCTGCTGATCGTTAAGCAAAAGTTACGTTTGATGATTTTTTTAAATGCGAAGAATATCATTCAAAGAATATCAAAGTATATTTGCAATTGTACTAAATGGAAAAAAAAGATACTGCATTAAATCATTTGATCTGGAAAGCTGCTGGCTTGTACGACTCTTATATTAATCTCGTAAAATATGGATATGAACTATTATCAAATTGTATAAAATCCAATATTTATATCTAAATTAAGAAGATATGAACTAATGCATTCTTTAAGCTTTCTGTTACATTCTGATATAAGTACATCTGTAGCGTAGTCACGTTTCGAGAAACGGTATTTGATGAAATGAAACGAAGTTTAAACTAATACAGAAGTGCATTCTGATCTCGTGCGCCGAGGGTTAGTCATGCGCTTTGAGAGAAATAATTCAAAATATAGGCAAACAAGACCAGAGGCAATCTACTTAACTGAAATTATCTAACCGTGCCCCGTAGGAGGAGTTGCGCATTTCAGTTTTTTGCTACCGATTAAAAATTGTCACTTCATTTAGAAATTAATTTGTTTCCAAACTTTTCATTTTGTTATGAAAGAAATTTTTAAGAAAATATGTATTTTTGTGCTGATATAGAAGTTACAAAGGTTATTTTTCAAAATGTTTTTTTCTTATTTTACAGACATGGAATGACGTCATGCTTACGTGGAATGCATCGGAGCACGAGAACATCCAAATAGTGCACGTGCCCGCAGACCGGGTATGGCTGCCGGACATCGTTCTGTACAACTTGTAAGTCAATCAAACTCTTGCAAACTCTCGCAAGTTTTCACAGAATGGTCATGTTGTCTACATTCAACGTCATAACCATCTGCCAATTGTATTGGAAACTTGACATAATTTCAGTGTATATGTACAAACCGCGAACATTCTAAACCGTGCAAATATATACGTGTACACATTCCAAAAACAAATTTAACAATGAAACAACGAGAACAAATTCGGTAAGGTAAACGTTAACAATAATATGCAGAACAGATCAAATTATTCAAAGATTACACAGGCAACAAAAAGTGTCCTAGAAACGGTTAAGATTAGGATTTCTAATTAGTTCATGGTTTTTTTTACTTATAAACTGTTTTCATGATACAAATAAGTAAACAAGCCAAGTGTGTTGTATTTTTCAATAAAGAACAAATAAACATTATTGAAAAACAAATTTGACCAATTAATTGGGTCAAGGTATGCCTCAAACAACAAGGGAAGACATTACGTCAATCAGTCATCTGAACAAAATGACAGATTGAAGCATAATAATTGGAGAATAGCTGATATTTTTTTAAAGCGAATACCATTACTAATATTTTCTATTTATGCTTCTGCAAAGAATAGTGTATGAGGTATTGGTCCAGCAGTACACACCGTATCCTCCAGTCTGTCATATCGTCTTAAGTAATAATATATACTGTTTTCTCTTTATGATTTCTGGGTTTTTTTTTGTAACTCGCTTGGTGCTCCATCTAGTTTTTTTTATTTTCCCTCGTTTATTTTAACACTTAAAGCGACAAGTATATTTTCCTGTAGGCTATATAATTTTTGCGACAAAGTATTTTTACGATTCGGCCAGCTCGACGTAGTTCATTTTGTTGTTGTTGTGTTGTTGTTGTTCGGCGATATCCTATGATGTTGCAATGTTTCATGACTTCACGCTTTGTTCCATTATAAGGTGACGTTGGCAAGACAGACAATGCTAACGTTGTCCGCAAAAATGGATTCCAAATTGATGACCATAGCATCTTGTTCTTGTAGCGCCGACCCTCGACTGAAGGAGCAGAGGGAAGCCCTAGTTGTGGTAGAGTCTTCCGGGGCTGTATTGTGGATGCCACAGGCTATCTTAAGGAGTTCTTGTCAATTCGACACGACCTATTTCCCTTTTGACGAGCAGAAATGCCTTCTCAAATTTGGCTCGTGGACTTACGACGGCAAGAAACTAGGTTTACAGTTCAAGGACAGTCTAGAACAATTTTCGCTGTCTGATTATATGAAGGGAACTGAATGGACAATCACGAAAAATTTTGCGACACGAAACGAGAAATTTTATGAATGTTGCCCTGATACGCCATACCCGGATTTGACGTTTAGATTACATATCAAACGAAAGGTGGCGTTCTACAGTTTTATCCTCATTCTGCCATGTGCTCTACTATCAACACTGACGCTGGTTATTTTCTGGGTTCCTCCCGAGTCTCCGGCAAAGCTGGTTCTTGGTAAGTAATATACTGCAAATAACTTATTTGTCGCGAAACGCTCGTTTTCCTGTTCATTCGTGAGTAAATTTAGTTATTTCGTGAACAAATTCTGTTCAGGTACACATGTGCATAATTTCTTTGAAAGCACAAAATCTTTGCATATGATTTGTTCATCAGGGAAACAATAATTTCAGTCAAGTGAGTTTCTTTCTTTCTTACCATCTCATCTGCATACTCTTTTCTCGACCTTGTTTCGCTAGGCATTCGTCCTCATTAAAGTTATTGATATATGAATGGATTTAACACCCAGGAAAAAAATGATAATAATAACACGAAAAACAATAGCCAAAGCCCGAGGGCTGATAAATATATATGTATGCTTTCGAGGGTTAACATGTTTATGGACATGGGAATTGCCATATAATTATATATTTATAGAAATAGTGATTATTATGTACAGAATAAATAGCAATATCGGAATTAAAAATAAATATATGTATCGGGCCGAGATCTGGTTTTGTACAGTTAGTAGTTCATCATATTAAAAACACTCCACTGTATATTACAGCCAAAGACACAATAAAGCATTTTTATCATTTATATTATACATGTACATACTGTCAATATTCATTAACCACGTGAAATATATTTCCAATAACTCATAAAAACATGTCCAACTTCATAAATCTGACAGTGGAAGATCGGAAACAGGCGGTGCGTGAGTTGAAATCAAACGCACTGATATGGTATGTCAAGGCTTTTGCCTTGTAAATATAAATTGAGCAGAAATATGGCCTATGAGCAGTTCAAAGAATTTCAAATGTAACACGGCCAAAATTGTATATGCTATTTAACTTGTTGGCAAGTGTTGCAGCATGTACATGATGAGCACCTCCTTCTCTGCCCTTTACGTACCAAACTGGCTCTCCCCTGGGGCTTTGACCGCTGACGTCGAGTGGGGAAAGAGGAAGCCGTAAGATAGACAAGTTGTCATGGTGATTCTCTCGACATGATATGAAAGTTTAGAGAGTGTCAAACGTCTAGGAGACTGTGTGCTTATTCGTGTTTGCTTGGTTGACGATTATAATATAGATTTAACCTTGGCTGTTGAAATGAGGGACAGTAACTGACAAGCTCCAATATCGGCGGTACTTAACGTTCATGAAAGCGACCATGAATAGGTGTATCAGTTTTCATGGCCATTAAGGAATCGCAATGTTTGTAGGGGAAAGTTCCTCGTACAGTGTTATCACCAAATAGTCGGATATCGACCATTTTCCCCATTGAACACCAAAGTGCACGGGGTGACTAAGATATACATGCAGGGTTATACTGCTAGTTCCCGCCCTCCCGAAACCTTCCACTGCAGACTAGGCTAACGCTAACTGTAAGTCGGAAATTATCATCATCTAGACATGAAAATAGCAAGTCTGTGTGCCCTGTGACACAGTTGTGATTGGAGGGAGGAGGGCATGCTCGTCTGATAATGGAGGTTACGTACCGCTCCAAAAATCAATTATAATGCCGTCAATTACCTATCACGCCTTGTTTGGACTAGAACATTCGTGACGTAAAGTTGGATTTCCCCAATCGTTTGAGAATTTTTCACCGTGGATTATATAATCAAAGTGGTTTCAACATTATCCCAATAGAGAAATATGCTATGTAGAGTATATGATGCAAGGTTCATAGAGATGACATTTGCCGATTTTGAAATTATACCCAATTAATATGTCGCGGGTTCGAGGCCTGCCTGGGGCAGTCGCCAAGTACTGGCCGTAGGTCGGTGGATTGTCTCCGGGAACTGCGGCTTCCCTCCACCACCAAAACCTGACACGTCCTTACATGACCATAGCTGTTGGTCCAACCCAAACTCAATCAATGTGGTCGGGTGACATAGTGACTAACGCACCAGCCTTTTACTAAGGCGGCCGGGGTTCGATTCCCCGATCAGACGTGAAAAGTATGGGGTCACACGCCCGATTATGTGGGTTTTCTCCAGGTACTCAGGGTTTCTCCCCCATTAAGACCTCCCGCGCGCTTACATCAGGGCCAACACGAGTGATAAATTAAAGTTGAAATAACTTGTTTTGTAAATGTTGTGAAATAAATTAAATTGATGTTATATTATCATATATTAGATTCTTTGCAACACGTAGGTCTCTCCATGGTTACAATTTATAATTCAAAAAATATAGATTTTATTAAACCTGTTAATGCCCTTATTAGTGCCAAAACCCCATTCTCTCTTTGTTTTTGTTTGACTTTTAAGCAACAAAACAACTTTCTCTCTTTGTCTCTCTTCAACCTTCAAGTAACAAAACCGATTTATCTCTTTTTCTCTCTTAGACTTTCAAGTGACAAAAACAGCATTCTCTCTTTGTCTCTCTGTTAGACCTTCAAGTGACAAAACAGCATTCTCTCTTTGTCTCAATTAGACCTTCAAGTGACAAAACAGCATTCTCTCTTTGTCTCTCTTAGACCTTCAAGTGGCAAAACAGCATTCTCCCTTTGTTTCACTTAGACCTTCAAGTGACAAAACATCATGCTCTCTTTGTCTCACTTAGACATTAGAGTGACAAAACAGCATTCTCTCTTTGTCTCTCTCTTAGACCTTCAAGTGACAAAACAGCATTCTCTCTTTGTCTCTCTGTTAGACCTTCAAGTGACAAAACAGCATTCTCTCTTTGTCTCACTTAGACCTTCAAGTGACAAAACATCATTCTCTCTTTGTCTCACTTAGACCTTAGAGTGACAAAACAGCATTCTCTCTTTGTCTCTCTGTTAGACCTTCAAGTGACAAAACAGCATTCTCTCTTTGTCTCACTTAGACCTTCAAGTGACAAAACATCATTCTCTCTTTGTCTCACTTAGACCTTCAAGTGACAAAACAGCATTCTCTCTTTGTCTCTCTTAGACCTTCAAGTGGCAAAACAGCATTCTCTCTTTGTCTCACTTAGACCTTCAAGTGACAAAACAGCATTCTCTCTTTGTTTCACTTAGACCTTCAAGTGACAAAACATCATGCTCTCTTTGTTTCACTTAGACCTTAGAGTGACAAAACATCATTCTCTCTTTGTCTCACCTAGACGTCCAAGTAACAGAAGAACATTTTTTTTCTTTCTTCGACATTCATGCTTATCTTACTGCTTTAGAACTAGGATAAATTCAGAAACATTTTCCATATAAAATCATTACCGAATGTAAGAGAAGTATCGAAGAAATCTATTATTACAGTGTTAACCATGCTTAAACACACACAGTGTATTTTATAGTCTATAACAGTCTAAAATACAGAATAAAATGCATCTTATCATGGATTTCAATACGATAATCAGATCTTTGTGACAATATATGAATAGGTTTGCGATATTCCAAGGTAATTGCTAAATATTCCAATCTGCATTAAAAAGTGAGTTTAAACTTTCTGGATACTTTTGTAAAAAAATCCAACCTGCACCAAAAAGTTTCGGTTCAATACGATTTGTTGGAAATGAAGAAGGAAAAAGATCATGACGGTTTGTAGAAGGATAGGAAAAAAGGGGGGTTAGATCAGAGCATGTATTCGTGAAACTTTTGTCAAGCTCAAACTCAGAGTCTGTGCTCAAGCCCAATCACTTCTTAATGTAATGCATTCATGAAAATATATCACATTTGTCAATGGTTTGAAAGAATTTTGGAGAGACTAAAAATCGAATACCGTTTCCAGTATAAACACTTGACTTACTGACCGTATTACCATGTGCATGGCTTAAGCAAGTTACTAGTAAGGTGGCCTGAGCACAATATCCCTGCTTTAGCATGGGAACGATTTCATGATAACACGACCCAGCAAGTATGAAAGAAGGGACGGGAGATACCAACGAGCAATAAAATAATATGCAGATGTTTATGAAAAGATTCTTGTAACACAATCAATAAATGTTTCTATGTGACGTTTCGATGACTAGTACAGTATGTACCCTGTCACCTTCATCAGACAAATGACGGTGACAGAGTACATATCTTACTAGTCATCGAAACCGTCACGTATAAACACTTATTGGTTGTGTTACAAGAATCTTTTCATAATCCTTACTAACCAACCTGTAGAAAATGTTTAGAAATGTGCAGATGTGTTTGAATGATTAATGACTGATACAGGTAATTGATGCTGATTCTTACAATATTTTACTCGAAGCATCACGGAAACTCTGACTTTTATGTTTCACTTCCGGGTTATTTAACGGGTTTGTCGATGAAAAAACTTTGGTGTATCATTTACTCTGTCTGTCATATATTTCAGTATTGATTATAAGTTTCGATTTTTGTCCTTGGTGTTAATGCGATGATAATATTTTTATGTTATTTAGCCGAACGAACTTAGACCCTGGGACTAATATAAGGCAATTCACTCATGCATATTTACAGAGCTACAGTTCAGTTAACCTCGTATCTGTGGGGGATCAATATATTCATTTTGTATAACCGCCATGTATATGTACAGGTTTGTGCCTACCGATTGTGTTATCGTTCCCTCGATACAATTTAGTCATAGTCATATGGGCTTTTTACGATGGCGTAAACAAACCCAGACGCTGAAAAATACACAGATCATGTCAAGGGAGATAATCCGGTATGCGCATAAACAGTAGAACTTGTATTAATACGTTTATAACACATCACTTTCGGAGACCAACAAACTTACATGCTGACAACCCTTGCAGGTTCGGGTAAAAAATGGTCTGCTGTATCCCACTGCATGTTCGTAGCAGGCGACATATATTCGGTCCCCTACAGAATCGTTTTTTTCCTTCTTCCGTGTCATATGCTTGGGGGATTTTGAAAAAACATAATCGACCTATAGTCCCCGTTGCAATACCTTGGATCTCTAGCTTTTCACTTCTTACTTCCCTACTGTTTCCTTTCAGCGGTGTCTTCCTAGGCACCTGTCTGCATTAAACAGCATACATACAAAAAAAACCACGCAAACCAAGGTGTGCCTACGTATGACAATGGTATGCCCGTCATATTGCGCTATGATGGACTAGCTCTATTAAGTCTGTGTTACCGACTGTTGGTAAGCAACTCAGTCATGTTTGAGTTTTACACTTTAAAACGGTTTCAAACATATTTTATCACACACGGGCTTATAACAAGCTTAAGTTTCACTCGTGGGCTTGTAAAAAGCTTAAGTTTTACTCGTGGGTTTGTAACAAGCTTAAGTGTCACTCGTGGACTTGTAACAAGCTTGAGTTTCACTCATGGGCTTGTACCAAGCTTAAGTTTCACTCGTGGGTTTGTAACAAGCTTAAGTGTCACTCGTGGGCTTGTAACAAGCTTGAGTTTCACTCGTGGGCTTGTAACAAGCTTAAGTTTCACTCGTGGGCTTGTAACAAGCTTACGTTTCACTCGTGGGCTTGTAACAAGCTTAAGTCTCACCCGTGGGCTTGTAACAAGCTTAAGTTTCACCCGTGGGCTCGTAACGAGCTTAAGTTTCACTCGTGAGGCTTGCAACTGGTTAAAGAAGAGTTTTAGTATTCGAATGTGATATGCCGAGTGGTTTGTCAAACAAATCCAAGATGAATTATATAGACATAGCTGTTTCATAACACACCGACTGCTTTTTGTTTAATCCATCTTATGTTCGAACTCAGTACTAGTTATTGATAAAAGAAATCAATGATCTGCGGCTCGGTGCGACCGTTCAGATTGAAGATGAATCTGGGTCTAATTCTAGTTAAAATTTCCATTCTTAAGATTGAATTTATTAAGAATTACTATTATATAAGAGGACGCATGCGCACAGTATCTGTTACAATTCAATTACCCTCAATAACGCTGGCGCGTTTGCTCCATGGCCTTCAGTTTGTCAAGCTTAAGAGCACAACTGAATATGCTGTTTTCCTCGGATTATTACAATCTGTCGGATTTCGTGTGCACGAAGCGCGTCTCAAACTCCCAATTCGCAAAAAAACGTCCATTCTAAAATGATATCTCCTGCAACTGCGAAGCTTCAAATTCAACCTGCACGTTCCTGTACGCAAACTTGTCTACGATTATATGCAAATTCTCTCCATGCCTACCCTATCAACGCTGCGTTAACTTAATCACGACCAACTGAAAACAACAGCTAATTGTTGACAAAATTCTGTGAAAATATTTCAGAATTAGATCAAGAGAGAATTCATCAAAAAGTTTTCGCGTCAGTCCTAATTTGAATCCTACCGAGAGTTGCATACGTCGTAAATCAAGTTACTGTGAAAAGCACGCACGTGCAGGATGCTACAGGTGTAATTAACTCCAAGACAGCTAACAGAAGGCGTTCTTTTTACGTCATTGATTTCCATTTGACCAAACAGGGCTATGCCATATATCTCTCGTGTTTCTGGTAGCAGAATCATCTTTAAAGACTCTTTTTAGAGTTTTAATCCAATCAGCCAATCTTTACGCGAAGCATTATAGAGATGCGATATGCCTAGGGACCCCGTAACACTGCTACTTTACCATTTAAATACCAATTACTCCTTTTATGTTTGAATTACACAGTCCCATATATCACTACACGCACATGCACGCGGCACGCTCCTCATTGTCGCACGTGCTAGTTTTCTTCTATTTTGGTGCACCGTCCACACTTGACCGTACCTTAGTACCAGAAAATCATATCTTGAAAAAAACCAATTACACCTTGTTTTAAACAAATGACCATTCTCCGCTACGACACTATGATTTTGCACCGTCAAGAACGATTACATGATACAGGGATTGGCGCGAAACGGACACTTGACGCCGTAAACCTTGGACCATCCCGTCCTCACTTATTTAATTAATTATATTGTCTCAATCTAGAACTAAGGGAAAACAGGATCCGTTTTTCTTGATTAGTTTCTACTCTACACAACCACAGAATCTCCTAAGCACTACATGAACTGGCCTTGCGCCACACATTAACACATGTCTGTCAATATACTGGAAATTGGCAATGCACACCTGCAATTTGTTTGGGGGGTAAGAGGATATTTAATCCTCTCCTTACCATTGTCTAGTCATAAAGGATGCTTATGTTGGTATCCGTTGAACAAACTTTTTTTATTTTCTCTTTTTATTAGACTAATAACTCAAGTTGATCAGTTGATTCATACAAGGGTTAATCAATGGGTTAAAGCGACAGTGTCACACTCTGAGGTTCGCGGTTCGAATCCTGGTCTACCTTCTCTGAATTTTACAGAACACATCTGGGATCCTTCATAAGTCAATTCACCACTTTAAAAAAAAAAAAATGCGGAATGGGTTTTAAATATGGAACACAATTTATGCACAATTCATGGCTTGCTTTTATAACACAACTATTTATTTGTTAAATGAGCAATAATATGAAGACTGAACGCAGTGATTCGAAACAAGAACAATTAGTTCTCGCATGCTTACGATTTTTTTTGTTACATTTATCTTACTGTACCATGTGCGTCACCACCATATTTAAGGTTAGACTTTCGCTGTATTTATAACCGTGCCTGTTTTCGGTGGATTTATTTTGCTATTGACGAGGCTGTTTCTAACTTTATCCTATTAAGGTTGTTACATATAAAGTTTGATTGACCTTCATTTTGACGGCGTACAGTACAATGAACGCAATTACAGTAGCAACCAATATATTCTTTAAAGAACGCGGTATGTTTACATCCGAAAAGAAACAAATGTTTAAATACTGTACAAGGAAAAACAGTCAGAAGGGGTTGCTACGATGGTAACTACGGTAGCTGTTGTTGCTAGGATAAATATTGATATGGGTAAATTTCAAAACTAGCAGTGAACAACACTACACTCTCAATTTGATATTTGTAGCTTTTAAATTTTAATTTATTTAATCTGAATAGCCCTTTGATAGTTTTCATTAATGTATAATGTTAGGTATATACACGCATTGACGCACTGCTCTGATATAGTGACGCGGTCGAATGTTCCAGAACAAAGCCGCCATTGTTTACTTTATGGGCAAAGACATTTGTATGTTCATCCATGGAATAAGAAGTGTGTCAGTCAGCATCCCTTTGTTGTATGATTCCAGATGTTGAAGGTATCAAACAATGGCTGTCATCGGATTGTTATTCCGCTTAAACGTCAACGGCGACATATTTGAAACATGTATCTGTACGCTAATTCATACGCAGCCAGAGTTTACTTAGCTGAAGAAGAGAGAAGTATATTTATGTATAGCTGCCTTCTAAAACATATATGGTTTATTTCGACAGGTATGAACGTGTTTGTGGCCTTTTTCGTGTTGCTGCTGCTTCTTGCTGACTCAACTCCAAAGGCTGCCGACTCCATACCCCTTATTGGTAAGTGCACGGAAGTGACGTGTGTACTCAAAAATTTCAAAAAATTGTAAGCCATTAAGATGTTGCTATTCGTGCGTCTGGCACTACTGCATTACCAAGACGGTACCATAGTGACGTCATAAGCCAAATAAGTTAAAGCAAATGTAAATAAGTAATATATTATATCTGCTTTCTAATGTACGGAATTGTTTACGGGTTTTGACTGGTTGTTTTTTTTCCCCTTATTAAATACACTGTTCGTACATCAGAGCCTTAACCCACTACAAAGACGTTACCATGGTAACGTCACATGCCATCTTTACCAAAAGTCGCGTTAGGTATAATTGTAAGGTACATGTACCTGGCAATGAAAAAATTCACAAAACATTTGCGTGTTCGGCAGATAACGGTACACTGTAGTATGGTGCATGTCGCCTGCCCCACCTCCAATATCGTGCTGACACTGAGCAGTGACACACAACCGTCAATTATTTCTTGCTTTCGTTTCATATCTTTTTTTATCAATTATGTTCGCTCTCAAACAGACGGCAGCGCTCACAGCCCCCCTCGTTATCCTTCCATGTCGAATTATCCGAAAATATGTCTGAAAATCAATATCTTGTTGTTTCTGTATCTATTATACGAAAATATCCCCTTTCTTAAATGATGAACTATAGCTGTAATTATCCAAAGAGTACGTTTGTTTTGGTAGGCCCGCACACCACCACCATCACCATCACCACCACCACAGGGACACCCTCTGTAGTCCTATATATAGCAGGCTATACGTGGGTACTGTACGGATCCTGAATTATCACCGGATCAAGATGCACTTTCGCTATCAATACGATCCAACAGCGTCGGTTACACAACATAGACCGATCGTCTCGCGGTGTTACTGGGGTGTGGTGTACTTGCTATGTTTGTTGAGATTTGACAGGGATACGTTGAATTGTTTCCTTGGTTTTAAATACACTTGCATGTAAGATCTAAACGGTGTGACATTACAATCCTGTTATATTTGTTAGAGTAATCCTGGTTTATGACAAGTCACTACTTTAATATGGTTTTCATGATAAAACATAGTATATTAGTCTGGTGAACAAGATTAGCAACTTCTGTTTCCACATATACAAATGGGCATTATATCTGTTTGACCATCTCACCCTGGAAATAGAGCAAGGGCACAGAAAGATTTTCAAAATCTAACTCTTACTATACAATCCTAACCCACAATTATACGGAGGCCTATTAGGGCCATATAATAACAACGAGATCATGTAAATTCGTAAATCGCCTTTCCGTAGTTATATCTACATGCAAGATACGGTAGAAACATATGAGATAAATGAAATTGACAAAAGTCTTACCATGACACAGCTAACGTTATGATCTCGTGTTTATGATTATAACATAGCTATCATCTAATGTATGTGATTATGACATAGCTATGATCACGTCGTTACAATCATGACGCAGATGACACAGACATGATTTCGTAGTTATTATATGATCATGATCACATAACAAAGCTATGATCTTTAGGTAATGATCATGACACACTATGGTCTCGTAGTTATGAATATGACATGGCTATATGATCACGTTATGATAATGAAATGGCTATAGTCACGTTATGATAATGACATAGCTATGATCACGTTATGATAATGACATAACTATGATCACGTTGTTATGATTATGACATAGCTATGATCACGTTGTTATGATTATGACATAGCTATGATCACGTTGTTATAATTATGACGTGGCTATGATCACGTTGTTATAATTATGACGTGGCTATGATCACGTTATTAAGACATAGGTATGATCACCTACATTTTATGTAGTTATGATAATGACATATATCGTGTTGTTATAATAATGGCATATATGCTATCTTGTAATTATGATCCTGACATATTAAAGGTCTTGTAGTTATGGTCATGACAAAGCTATGATACATCGAAGCGATAATTATGCCAATCTATGATATCTTATAGTTATGATCCTGACATAGATGTAATCTCGTAGTTATGATTATGATATAGCTATGATCCTATAGTTATGATACATGTATGACATAGCAGTGAAATTGTAGTTTTGATAATGACAAAGATCTCGTAGCTTTGATAATGACATAGATCTCGTAGCTATGTAAATTACATAGATCTCGTAGCTTTGATAATGACTTAGATCTCGTAGCTTTGATAATGACATAGATCTCGTAGCTTTGATAATGATATAGATCTCGTAGCTTTGATAATGATATAGATCTCGTAGCTTTGATAATGATATAGATCTCGTAGCTTTGATAATGATATAGATCTCGTAGCTTTGATAATGATATAGATCTCGTAGCTTTGATAATGATATAGATCTCGTAGCTTTGATAATGACTTAGATCTCGTAGCTTTGATAATGACATAGATATCGTAGCTTTGATAATGACATAGATCTCGTAGATTTGATAATGACATAGATCTCGTAGCTTTGATAATGACATAGATCTCATAGCTATGCAAATTACATAGATCTCGTAGCTTTGATAATGACATAGATATCGTAGCTTTGATAATGACATAGATCTCGTAGATTTGATAATGAAATAGATCTCGTAGCTATGATAATGACATAGATCTTGTAGTTTTGATAATGACATAGATTTCGTAGATATGATACTGATAGTGATCTCGTTGTTATTATAATGGCGTCTCTATGATTCTATTGTAATGATATTATCATGATCTCGTAGCTTTGATATTGCCATCTCATAATTACAATAGAAAAAAAAATATCAGACGACCCTAATACGCTTCCGTACTTTGCTGATAGCACTGCCGCGACGGTTAAGCAAACTCCGATCAATTGATAAGCCGTCTCGAGGACCTGTAAAACACACGTCGAGGGCCCTTTTGATAAGGAATTGGTCATCAATATCCGCCTATTAAGTACTATTCACTGTTGTAAGTGATATAACTCGAGAACTGACCGAAGGCTGATGGATTCAGTACACTGGGCGATACGTCAGATCGCCAGTATCCCCCCTCCCCGACATAACATATCCGGATATTCCCACAATAATCCTCCACATTATTGTTTTCTTTATTAGACAGAAACTCTGTTAGCCAAAAATCACACGGGCATGAATAGGTCTCGGGGAAAAAGATTATGGCCAATAAAAGTATAGGCTGCCAAAGACTGCCTGTTATGATTTGGTCTGATACATCTGTTTTAAACAAGTACATATTGATGTTCGCGTTAAGACAGAACCGATAACAGAAGCCAGGAAATGTGTACAAAGAGATTACAAAAATGTCAACCAGGCTGGAAAGTCGAGCAATTATCGAGGGCCAATTGCAGATAAGGCTGAAGCAAACTCGGATGTGCTGAATATGTGAAAAACGGGGAAATAAAGTGCTATTTATCCATGTTTGGGGTGTCTACAATAAAAACGAAGGTGATTTGAACGGCTGCGGACAAACAATTTAAATAACCCGGAATCACCACGACACACGACGACTGCAATGTGTCAACAGAAAATCTGTGAGTGCAGTTGGGTTGATATGTAAATTTAAGTAATTTATCGTCTATTTCACTAACACTACCTCAACAGACCGACGACAGTTCCGTTTACATATAGGCCAATAAAACACTGTGTGCAGACTGGCATGCCGTATAAGATGAATCAAGGTTTGTGTGGACCTATCCGTAACATTAAACATATCTATATATCGGTCGTGCGAACCTGTCCATAGGTCTAATTTGGCAATAAGAGCTACATGTACATGTACTGTAAAAGTGGAAATTTTCACGTTTTTCGCGTCGAGTGCATTTGCTTGAAAATATCCACACGCGAATATAGAAAAATAGAATATGTAAATTTTAGATGTATTGCAAACGCTAACATTTCCACGCCACGATCAATTGAAAAGTCACAACGTAAGCATTCCAATAGAAGAGATGGGATACATGTAAGCAACAATAATCTGCCACGGAGCCAGCCTTGGCCCTCTGATCATCAAACCAAACAGAGCTATCTGGTCATCGTTACATGTAGAACCCTTACCCAGTTATATCCAGAACAAATTGGAAGGGAGGTAACTCTATGTACAAAAAAACTACAGTGGAATCATTTTGGTGTTTTGCCCGCTAATGACAGAGATGTTTAAGAGAGGCAAGCAAAGAATTGTAGATTCTGCCTATTCTAGGCAACTATACTATACAGGATGGCACATACCAGCAACCTAGTTTGGTCGAATCGGCCAGTAATAGTAATCATGGATTGTAACAACTGGGTCGTACTAATAAACATTGGTTATACAAACCGACAAAGAGTGGGAATTTGAATGGTACGGACCGGCTAATACTCAAAATCACGAGTTTGTATGATCGGTCCGTAGGACAAACAAAAATGAAAGGACTGTGATGATTGGTTAGCGGAGGGGTGGACAGACAGGTCCGTAGACGCTACCGCCAAGCCCGCATATACCAATCAATGAGAAGATGTAATAGTAGTAATTGCTGTTACTAATATCCGTCCAAATAACATTATACCGTACAGCCCCGAGGCTGCAGAAAGTCCGTCAATAACCTGGTGAAGAATTGTAACCCCAAGGGAGCTAACTAAACTCAATGGCCCAAAAATTGAACTGTCAGCAGAATCTTACAATCCCGATGGGTTCCGAGACCAACAGTGTTGATGATTGCGTTCCGTTAGTTTATATCATTCCTAACATTACATTTACCGACTGTGAAACCTCGTTATGAGTTATATACAGCTAAGATGGAAGTCCATGCATGTGTTGTTGTCTGTGATCATGAGAACCCGTACCTATCTGTAAGAACTTGAAACATTATCAACATGGTGGCAGTGGCGAGAGAGGTAGGAATCGGGCCTAAAGACTTTATAACTGTTAAAGTCGACACTCACTAAGAAAAATCACTCTGATGTGTTTTTTGGGAACGCTGTGAGCGCACCACGTGGTTTTGACTATATTCCCGCGATGGGTGAGCCA